ACTTATTTATGCTCGGAGCACGAGGAGTGGTGCAAATGTGAGAAAGCGTTTGAGTGGAGGAGACAATATGAAAGGGTCAGTGGTATTGATGAAGTACTTTATTTATAAGTGATTACTTTTTGCTTTCCAGGAACACGTGAAGTACTACCAAGAAGAAACGGCCGCTCTTCTCCGTGATGAGTGTAAAATCTTTGAACAAATCGCCACAACCGAGACTTTCGCTGATCCTTTTGATTTTGAAGACAAGTAAGGTGGAAAACTGAAAGAAGATTTAAAAGAAATTTTAGAATATTCGGTTTCTATTCGTGTCGCCGTCAGCAATTGCCATGCACTGTGAAAGGGGAATGTATTACGTATGAGCTTTTGGAAAAGGTTTCTTTAATTAATTCTTTAATTAATGTCTTTAATTATAACCAATGAATAAAATCAATTAATAAAATCAATTAATAAGTCTAGATTTATAAAATGAGTTAATAAACCTAGATTACTTTTGCCTAGTTTTAGAGATCTTCAATAATATACAGGGTACCTCATAATTATTGCAACAAGATACTCAAGGCATTGCACACCAAGAAGTTTCACTGGAAGAAGATTTTTAAACAGAAATAGCTTTATTTAACAGTAACAAATAAGGAAACAAGAGATCATTCGATATGACCGCCTTTTGCCTTGATAACAGCCCTTAATCGGTTCGGATATGCCTCCACTGCGGCCCGAATGTCATCTTGAGGAGTCGCCTTCCATCCTTTGGTCAAAGACTTCTTCAAGGTCAAAGAGCAGACATTAGCCTCTAAGATTGCCCAAATAGAAAAGTCCATCACATTGAGATCCGGTGAGTTTGGAGGCCATTCATCCTTGGTGATGGGAAAGTTGGCCACACACCAGTCCTGAACCGTCTTCTTCGTGTGAGCGGGAGGCAATTAGGCAAGAATAAAAAAAGATAGAACGCAACACAACAAAAAAGGGGGCAGAAAAAATAAGAAAGCTGTTTGGAAAACGGTCTTTGAACTCTTGTTGCAATAATTATGACGCACCCTGTAGTGAGTATAAGGTATACCTCATGGTGCTTCCTTTCTTGTGTAGTGAAGTTTAAGTGATGATTTAAGTGCAAAGATTTAAGTGTGAATTAAACTCTTAAACTTTAAAGAACAAGAGTTGTATATCCAATAAACTGATATTCAGATATTTGCTGAGACCACATTACGTGGGGAAACGATGTTCAATCGAGAGACTGACTTCATTGCAAAGCGACTTCAAATGGCCGAAGCGTACAGTGTGATTGGTTGGTTTGTGGCTTAAGAAAATGGATATACAAAAGAGTACGGGACGTTTTTTTCCTTTACCCCAAAATGCGAGATAGTTTCGAATTTTAAGAATTTCAACAATTTCAACAATTCGGTCAATAAGTTCCGCGTTTCACGAAAAGTTTAGATCAATTAAACCCGAGTTCTAATTAATTAATAAATAGCTATTAATAAATAAATAGAATAGCTTAAATAAATAAATGATTAGCTTCAATCGATTGCATTAAATTTGGCTCAATTTTTTTCACAAAACAAAGAACAATGCGAGTATTTTTGTATGGGTTTTTGCCACGAATTCTACATCCCGTTGAATCATTGTGTTACTTAGATAAGGCGAGGCTTCATCGAAAACATTGTTTCATTTAGGTAAAGTCGCCAAAATGGTGCCGATCTTGCAAGAGAATCCAAAGAAGAACAAGATTATGGTAAGAAAATAGAAAATTCTAGATCAATACAATATTTCAGCTCTTATCGGGTCACGATACAACGGTTGGCCCGCTATTGCGAGTGCTGAGGATTTTGCCGGAAGATCCACCGAGATACGCGAGTCGAGTCGTTTTTGAGGTTGCTTAGAATTGATATACAACGATATTAAGCTACAATTTTTACAACTCATCAAGAAATTTCAAAATAGAGCTTTAGTATTATTCAAACGAGCAGCAGCAAATCTTCATCCGATTACTCTTCAATGGGAAAGATCTAACGCCAAAGGTTTGGCTAAACGGATAAACAAAATTACAAAAATCTAATACTTTCACAAAAAATAATCATAATTTTTGTTTGATCTTTAATTATCTTTAGAATCTGTTCAAGTTCAATTACCGGTATTACCGGTACCGGTTCAACTACCGGTTTAATTACCGGTTTAATTACCGGTTCAATTACCGGTTCAATTACCGGTACCGGTACAATTACCGGTTCTAATTACCGGTTCAACTACCGGTTCAATTACCGGTTCAATTACCGGTTCAATTACCGGTTCAATTACCGGTTCAATTACCGGTTCTAATTACCGGTTCAACTACCGGTTCAATTACCGGTTCAATTACCGGTTCAACTACCGGTTCAATTACCGGTTCAATTACCGGTTCAATTACCGGTTCAATTACCGGTACCGGTACAATTACCGGTTCTAATTACCGGTTCAACTACCGGTTCAATTACCGGTTCAATTACCGGTTCAATTACCGGTTCAATTACCGGTTCAATTACCGGTTCTAATTACCGGTTCAATTACTGGTTCAATTACCAATGACTTTGATAATTGAAGCTTTGATTCAATCACCCACTGACTTGGGTAATTGAACGAAAACTTCACAAATCCAAAACGATTTCGATTCAATGAGACTCAATAGGGATAGATGAGCCTAATGATTTACTAAAACTATATGTCGTAGCCGATTATGAATGAGTGGGTCTAGGAGCGTCCAACCATCAAGTATTTGGTATCATTCAACGCAGAATCATTAATAACTATGTTAAATTTTTTAAATTAGAAAGATTGGATAAAAAGAAAAAAAATTATGGGGCTTCAAAGTTTTCTCTTGAACAAACAGTTTTTTTTGCTCTGATTTTTTTTCTTTTTATTCAATCTTTCTAATTTAAAAAATTTAACATAATTATTAATGATTCTGTGTTGAATGATACCAGATACTTGATGGTTGGACGCTCCTAGACTCACTCATTCATAATCGGCTGAAATTCATAATCGGCTACGGGGGTCCCGCCGATTTTGAATGAAACGTTGTAGCGCCGGCAATTTTTAACCTAAACCCACAAATTTGGTACCAATCGACGCAGAATTTAATTCGCTACAAAATGATATAATATTGTCCTCATACATTAAAGGGTTGCTCTACTAGAAAGATTTGCCAAAAAATTTCATTCATAATCGGCTACGACATATATATTAAAAGATAAAAGAATTGCCAATTTACAAAGTGAATCTCTTTAGCTTTCATTTTGTCCCGAATTCGTCGACGGTCTCTGTGAGGGGAAATTCTTCGAGCAATTCTTCTCTACCAATCTCTGGAAACTCAGCTCAAAATACAAGAATTTTGCGCAACTTTGTGATCCCTTGTTTTGATGTTAGGTTACTTTAAATGTGTGTCATTAAACTATAATATTAGCTCAATAGATAAAGCTACCGTAATCCTTTACATAGGCCACCACAATCCTTCTATAAGCTACCGTGATCCTTCATCTAAGCTAGCGTAGTCTTTCGCTCGATAAAGCTACCGTAATCCTTTATGTAAGCCACCACAGTCGTTTGTTTAAGCTACCGTAATCGTAAGACTTTATCGTAAGACTTTTATACACTTTACTTAATGAGCTACCCTTTGATGACCTTCAGCTGGTTACTGTGTTAAAATGCGAAAACGGGATTACAGTAGCTTTTTTCTTTTACTATTTGAAACTATTGGGTTGGGGAGAATGAGTCGGCGCCGAACTTTAAAGGGACTTTTTGCACACATAAAGCCTTCTTTAAACATACGTTTGGTTTCATCAAAAGGATCCACTATTTCTCTACAAAATCACTTTTGAGAGATTCCACAAAGCTTTTCTTCGTGGAGTTTTATGAACTTCCAAACGCAGCTGGTTAAAATGGCAAAGAGTCCGACTCATCATTTGAACAGTTTCTTTCACATAAACCTTCTTTGGTGTTTATATAAAAAAGATAGAGCACATTCAATTACTTAAGTTGCCAAATTTGCAGGAAGATCCCACCAATGGTTTTTTCTAGATCACAGTTTGTAGTTTTTGTGAAAAAATGGCTTTTTCTTGAGCGGAGGCGCTGTTTGAATTTTCTTTTAAATGTCATTTTGTAGAGAATTAGTTAACCATTCTACTCATATCAAACGCATATTATTTCACGAAGTCGAATAGAAGTTTTAGACATTTTTTTGATTTTCGGCGCCGACTCATTCTCCCCAACCCAATATTTCTCAAGAAAAACAGCCAGTCATATAAATCTATTAAAAATTTCTGATATTTGCACAGATTTGCACAGATTTGTGATCCCAGTTTGTGATGTGTTTTGTTTTATTTTGTTTTGTTTTGTTTTGTTTTATTTTATTTTGTTTTGTTTTGTTTTATTTTATTTTGTTTTGTTTTATCTTGTTTTATTTTAATCTTGCCTTTTCCCCCAAATATTGTCACATATCTTCGCAAATAGTCTTCATGGGTTTCCCCCCTTCGGTTGTGATCAATTGCCTTTACATTTCGAAATGTTCACGGGTTTCTACCTTTGCCGTATATTCATGATCACAATAAGCAATAAAAATATCGTAGTTGTCTGGAAATTTGTGGATTTGGTTTTAAACCGGCTATCAATGATTTTGCCTCATTTTTCACTAACATTTTTCAGCTAACTACAGTAGTAGACCAGACTACAGTACCAGAAAAATATCCAAGAGTTAATAGGGAATGTTTTTTTAAGCTTTGCAACTACGCTATTAAGGCTATTCAGTTTTGACGCTTGAATACTTTTTATGCATAACTGAAAACCTTAATCTCGTCACAGCAGAATAAGGTTTACTGTTGTGTTAGTACTGAGAGTTTTTTACTGTAGAGTTTTACACTGTAGAGTTTTACTGAGAGTACTGTAGTTTTTAAGATGGCAATGAGATTCTTACTGAAGCAAGCATGAGCATCAGATTCTTACTAGATCTTATTTTTAAAAGTTCAGTTTCTCCTATGCAAAGCTCGGTGAACGGTAGCGAAGTGAAGAAAGAACAAAGGAAATATGAGAATGGACACTCGAATGAAGCTGGCCCAAGTCATGTTGATGATCCGATGGTGAGCAAATGTTTTCTTAAATAGTAATCTTTTTGTTTAAGAACCTGGTTGAATTGAAACTATCAGATTGAAACTAGCCAACTTACAACTATCAGATTTTAAAGATGTATAGCTTCTTCACTGAAGCTTTCAATGCTCAAAATTTTAGACCTGGACTTGCTCAAGTTTATTAGATGAAGAAGACTATGAAGATGCAAATGAGTCGAACAAAATCCAAGAAAACCCTGAAAGTAATCCGACAAATGGAGATGGATGGATTGAGAGCGCTAGGAAGTGAGATTGAAAGCATTTTCTTTTTAAAAAAACATTCCTAGAGCTGGTCGTCAAATGTGGAATAAACTGAAAACGAAAGAAACACAAGTCGAGGAAAATGAGAAGAAAAAGGAAACGTTTAAGGCAAGGAATACAATATTGATGAGCAAAGCAAGTTTTCAGCATCGTTTGTGGACTGCTTGGAACAACATGAAGTACTCCTCGATGTTACAATCGGATCATATGAATGATTATGAAGCCGAAGACACAATATCGATGCTTGGAGCCGAGTATGATCCGGAGAAAAATCGTGAGAGCTTTAGATTTGATTTGAATCTTTCATTTTCTCTAGAACCTGGGCAAACATTCGACGACTTTTTCATCGATTACTACTCGAGAATCTGGTTGACGTACAGGAGTGGATTCGACGAATTCCCGGGCACAACGGTGAATAAAGAAGTTGAATTGAAAAAAAGGCTACATAGTACATAGTAAGAAAAAGGCTATATAGTAATCTTTTTGTTTAAGAAGCTCACCATCGGAGCATTGATTATTACAAGTCAAGATACTATTGGGTTGTCCAGTTATGAATGCGCGTTTTTACTATTTTGTAAATTTCTCAAGATACCGAACAGATTTATATGAGTGTTATATATCATTCGAAAGCTGAAGATCTCCTCTACATTTTGGAATAAAAAAGCTTTTGAATTCATTCAACTTTTTGGGAAATTGACTGCACAAAGGGAGAGGTCGTCTTCAAAAAAACCCATTCCAGCTTAGCTATTCCTCAAGTTTTATGGTGTAAAATAACCGCCCAGAAAAGTAAAGATGCTCTGAAATTGTTATACTTTTAAAAAAGTTGTATTGATATATCTATTGACCAAACATCAAACGGTTAGCTCAATTTGAGCGCAGCCAAAACTGGATCCAAAGGCACCCTTCCATTTTTTGGCCACCTCTTCTTCTGTGCAGTCGATTTGCCCAAAAGCTGAACAAATTTAAAAACTTTTTATATCAAAATGTAGAGGAGATCTTCAGCTTTCGAATAATACTCATATATATCTTTTTCTTGATTTCGGTATCTTGAGAAATTTACAAAATAGTAAAAAACGCGCATTTATAACTGGACAATCCAATATTTACATGTTCGCGTTAAACAACAGCTAAACTTTACAATTATAGATCCGATCCGATTGTGGTTGGGGTTGTATGTTGCGGACGAGTCAAATGATGGTCGCTCAAGCGATTCTTGTCCTCAGACATGGCAGAAGTTCGTTATCTTAAGAATCTTAAGAATATTAAGAATATTAAGAATATTTACTTGATTTTGTCATCTACAAATCAAAACTATTTATTCAGATTGGAGATGGAATCTACGAGGAATGAATTTGAATGAGAAAATGCCAGAAACCGCCTGGGAACACTATGAGATTCTTCGGCTTTTTGAGGACAAGCCAAGTCTGGAAGCTCCTTTGGGTTGGATTTGAATAAGAAAAGAAAATAGAATATGATACATATTTTCAGGAATCCATCGATTGCTCGAGTTATCGGGTGGGAAAGCGTCAGCTGAGCGATGGTTTCGACCAAGCGAAGCGTTGAGTTTATTGAAGTAAGTCCTAAAGATTCAGCTATAAGAATACTTGCTGCTTAATATTTGAAAGCAAGAATTTCGGACAATACTTGCTAAAAGCCATTCTAGAGCCATAACTAGGCCTAGCCTAGCTTAGCCTGCCCTAAAAACCTTAGCTGCTCTGCTCCTCATTTGCTCCTTTTCAGACGTGCCATCCAAACATCAACCTCATCATTGACAGCTGGTTTGGCAATGGTCGTTTGTTCAGGTTTTCTTTCGGTTTAAAAGATTTTATTTTAAATAAGAGTATTAGAAAAATCAAGAATCAAAAGAAATACAAAAAGTAAAACAAAAAGTAAAACAAAAAGTAAAACAAAAACCGTTTACTAAAATGCATTTGGCGACACCGAAGGCACATGTTTAGATGGAACACTCATTGTGCCGATTGTCGAGCGGGAAACCAGAAATTGGACTCGACCACTTTTACTCTTCATCTGCGTTCGTTTAGGGGCTCATTCGGTGAACAAGGTTTGGATATAGAGTGAAGATATAGAGTGGAGATCACATAAAAGTATTCAGGTCTATCATCGACATCTTCAATACTTGCTGAAAATGCCGAACTCGCTGGGAATCGGCGGTGGGAAGCCGAATCACTCGACGTACTTCATTGGGTATTATGATCAGGTGAGATCAATGAAATCGATACGTTTTCCCTTTGGAAGAAGTTATTTTAAAAAGATAAACCCGGACATTTCAGCAATTGATCTACTTGGATCCACACGTCAGTCACCCATACATTCCGCTGGAGAAAGAGCTCGAGAAAGATCACGAAGCAAAACCGAAGCACAAGGTAACGAAGAAAAATTGTTAATAACTTGAAAACTTTTAGCCATTTTCCTCATTTCATTGCCGACTTCTCTCAAAAATGCACATTTCCGATATCGGTAAGTATTGGTTGACAGCTTAAGCTAAAAACAAAACGTTAACAAAGCCAGACCAGGCCAAGTCAGATCATGGTCTAAATTTACTTCACACCCATCAAGAAACCAAGCCAGATTTGAATCTGACTTTTCCTTGCCTTGTCTGGCCATCAAATCTTTTCCAGGAGCAAGACCTGGATCTGGTCCTGGCTTCTGGCTTTAGCTTGTCTGGCATGACCTAGATTATAAGTCCGGTTAGACATTATCAAACAGTATTATTTTAGATCCTTCGTGTGCAATCGGTTTTCTGATAAACGGAAAAAATGAATTCGAAGAGTCGATGAGATTTTTGAATTTGGTGAGTGAAAAAGTTCAACAAGATCCAAGCCAAGATTGCGATCTTCACAGTACTCTAGGAAGAGCCGAACTTTCAGAACCAAGTGATCGATGTGGAATTGGGAAGAGGACTCGGCTCTAAAAGAACAAAAGATCCAATCTTCACAGTACTCTATGAAGAGCCGATTGGTGGAGAGACAAGGGTAAGCTTTAGCACAAGAGCTTTTCTTGAAAGATTTGAACTTTCAAAACTTTCAAAACTTTCACTTTCAGCATATCTCCGAACAAGAGCGGAAACAAGCCGAAGATCATGGATTTGAATTGCTGTGATGATTTTTGTTTAAACTTTACAATCAAATTGCCTTGTGTAGAGAGAAAATTGTCTTGGGTTCTCTTCTGAAAAGAATGTTATAAACAAGTAGATTTCAAAAAAAAATCGACAAAACAATGCAGATTCGAAAAAAACGAACAAAATAGCAAAAAGACAACTCTACACTTAATCAAATCGTTTTCTAAAGTGTATCAAATTTCAAAAACTATCATAATCAAAATTATCATGTTTTTAGCTTTTATCTAATCTATCTTCATTTGATCTGAGGCTTCATAAAGGATATCAAAAGCTATAGAAAGAGATCGATTGAATAAAATTAGAACCAGGATTATGGTAGCTTTCGAAAGTTGGCATGCTTTAGAAAACGAGAGAAGCGCACCTGTTGAACAAGTAAACTACAGTATTTGGTTGAAATCAGAACTTTTTAAAGCTTTGGCTTAAGGCCTAAGGCTAAAGCCTAGCAATTAGAATTACCTTAGCATTTCTTACTGCTTACTATTAGAAAACTTTTGGGGTAATTGATATCCTCTTTTAGCTTGTGGACAAAAATCGTAGCAACGTTTTGCATTCAAAAATCCTGGGCACGTGGTTCTTTTCTTTAAATGTGGTGGTTGATCGTATGGCTGTTTTGGTCTTTTCCCTTTTCTACAAATTCAGAAAAGGATTGGGAATGTCTCTCTTTTTTTCGGAAAGGTGCTGAATGATGAATGTGGATGGCTTTTGGATCCTCTTATCCCTTCTTCTTCACCCCGCTCCCTTCCTTTTCGTTGCCTAGATTCACTGGATGCCCCATCGTCCCCTTCTAACCGAAATACATCTGAACAAAGCAGCTAGTGTACGACTATTTGTACCACAAACACTAAAAAACTTTTACAATGACGAAAGTTCTTCGTACTGTCAAGTTATCTTATGGGATTCTCATCATTTTGGGATTCATTTTGACGATGGTTGCTCTGTTTACACCGGGATGGAGATCATTCAAGGTAATGTTGAGAAATTCGCTAGAAACTTTTGATTTCAGGGACCTGGCGCCCCATTCTTTGGCCTTGTGACATTAGATTGTGGAAATGGAAATCGATACGTGATCCGACCAGATTGTCATGAATGGTTTCGGGTGAATTATAGAGAAAACAAAGCCAATCAATGCCATGTTTTCCAGTACAAGTCCACATTTGAGAAGGTGACATTGGCTTGTATGATCCTCGCAGCTCTCCTTGAGCTCGTCTGCGTCATCTCGTTTGTGCTCATTTTTGCGAAAGGTGGGGAAATTTGGACAAGATTTCTGCAACTTTTCGGAATTCGGGATTAGTTTAGGATTTTGCAAAAGCTTGTACAGGATCAATCGTTGTATTTCACTGACATGGTGGCAAATAGAGGTTATCCGAAGCTCTGAAAATGAGCCTTAGAGAGCTCTGAAAATCGTTTTATTGGCTGGGAATGCTGGCTGGCTCGGCGCCGCCGGGATTCGAACCCGCGACCTCACGTTTACGGGGGGAACGCTCTACCAATGAGCTACAACACTACCAATGAGCTCTACCAATGAGCTACAACTACCAATGAGCACTTATCCAATTGCCGTCAAGGGAGAGTCTTATGCCTTACTAAAGACAATATGCTGACTAGGAGACAGCACTATGAGACATCTATAGCAACAAATTCAGCGAGATATCGACTCGCGGCGCCGGCGGCCGCAATGTGTGGATTGGCCGCTTTGCTGTTAGCTATTGCGATTATCTGGTATGCGATCAAGTTCGACAGCAAAACGAGTAAGTTCAAAAAGCGAATAGAAAAATCTTTTGCTTCCAGTGTACATGCAATCGACCTCATATGAAATGATTCACAATGCACATCTCGGATATTCGTGGTTCGTCTATAGCTCTGATCATTTCAAATTTTTCTCACTTTGAAAATGTTCTCAAGTTTGACCAAAATAATTCCAGGTACCTGACAATTGTGGCATTCATCTTTGTGTTGGCTGCGGCCGCTGCAGCTGGAGCAACGAGGTATTGCTATGAATCTATATGGCTTTCTTGATTCAGTCAAACAATACCTAATATTGTAATGTGACCAAGAATAGGCTCAATGTTATAACTAGAGTGTGGTCTCCCATGCAAAGCGTTTTCTAAAACGTGTCAGCTTTTAAAAGCTACCGTAATCTTGTTTTTATTTCTACTCAATCTATCATTTGATGTCAGATAGATTAGAAGGCCAGATTACGATAGTTGTCTAAAAGTTGACTCTTATAATAACACTTGAAAGATCAACTTTCAGAGCGTTCGCCATCGTGGACACTCGACCGCCAGAAATTGATCCAACTTGAACACAAACGAGATCACCTAGCAGCTCAAGTGTTTTTTTCTGAATGTTCTTCTGTGTCCTCAACTTTGGTGCCTTCTACTCCGGTCCCCCATGTTCTCATTTAAGATGAAATTCCAAAATTGATTCGTCCCGTCCGTATTACCCATGTAATGTTAAACTTTTTTGATAAATCTCAACGAAAAACGCACTAAGAGTACACAAAAACAGGGAGTGGGACAAATGCGAGCTTTTTTTTGCGCACCCGGACATTTGCGCACCTTTTTTTCCGCACTTAGCCCATTAGCGCACCTTTTTTCGCGTTTTAAAAAAGCTCTAAAAAGCTAATATTAACCAATTTCTATTCCAAAAGTTGTTTTTCTAGGTAATTTTAGGGCGTAGAATCGAAATTTTGACATATCAGAGCTTGTGGAAACAAACGGACGGAGTTATACAAAGAGAAAGATCGGCAATTTTCTGTAATTTGATCTAGCCGTTTTATCTTTCAAATTGGTTCGACACGCTCTGTTATGTCAAAATATCGATTCTACGCCCTAAAATTACCTAGAAAAACAACTTTTGGAATAGAAATTGGTTAATATTAGCTTTTTAGAGCTTTTTTAAAACGCGAAAAAAGGTGCGCTAATGGGCAAGGTGCGCAAATGTCCGGGTGCGCAAAAAAAGGTCGCATTTGTCCCACTCCCTAAAAACAATCACAACCGAAAAAATGAGGAAGCTTGAATTCTAAAAAGCACCAAACAAAATTGTTTACTCCTATTTTCAACTGAATATCTTTTGTTATAAAAAGGCTCTTAACACCAAAAATTGCCTCTAAAGTTCATTTGCGTCAACTCGCACAAAAACGCGTTTCTGGTGCGTTTCCAAAGTTTTAAGATTTGCTTTGGTTTAGAAAATGCACCCGATATTTTTAATCGTATCAGCAATTCAATTGAATTATAAGCATGCATTTGACTCTATGTGTTTTTTTTTTTTTTTTTTTTTTTGTGTTTTTGGGTTTTTGGGGGGGGGGGGGGGATATGGGGGGAAAAGGGAAAAATTTTTTTAACATTTTTTTTTTTTTTTTTTTTTTTTTTTTTTTTTTTTTTTTTTTTTTTTTTTTTTTTTTTTTTTTTTTTTTTTTTTTTTTTTTTTTTTTTTTTATTTTTTTTTTTTTTTTTTTTTTTTTTTTTTTTTTTTTTTTTTTTTTTTTTTTTTTTTTTATTTAAAAAAATTATTAATTTTTATTTAAATATTTTTTTTTTTTTTTTTTTTTTTTTTTTTCTCAACCCAAAAAAAATTTTTTAAATTTTTTAAATTTTTTATTTTTTTTTATTTTTAAAAAAAAATTTTTTTTTTTTTTTTTTTTTTTTAATATATTTTTTTTATTAATTTTTTTTTTCCTTTTTTTTTTTTTTTTTTTTCCTTTTTATTTTTCTCTTTTTTTTTTTAAAAAAAACATTTTATCCAAAGTTTCATTTAAAAAAATTTTCATTTCCCAAGTTTTGTTGTGTAATGGCTTCTTTTTCTTCAGCCTTATCTAAAACTGAGTATAATTTTTATGGTACTTTGTGGGTTGGGGGGACCCAACTACAGTTTTAATTTTTTCACTTTTCTTGGGGTAACCGAGGATGCTGAGCACTTATTTGACAGTTTTAGCATAGAACTGTCAAATTCGTGCTCAGCGCCCTCGATTACCCCTAGAAAAGTGAAAAAACCAAAAATGTAGTTGGGTCCCCCCATCCCACAAAGTACCACTTTTATTTTTAGACAGCAATTCATTGACCGGCAAATTGCAGTACTTATCAACGGTGCATGATGGGGCACATGACTCAAACCTGCTTGAGCGACATTCTAAAGACTCAAGGCGAGATTACATCAGAGTTGATTGAGTCGATTCTCAATGCGCCGCAAGAAGGAACTTTCTTTCACAAATATCAACAAAGCGCAACGGTTTGTGTTTTATTGTTGTTTTTGATCGGTTAAGCTATTGTTGATTATTAGCTCAATTAACTGGGGTATATGAAGTAGGATTCTTATCTGAAAAATGTTTGTCTTTTTAGATGGGTGCCAAAATGAGGCGAGATAAAGTTCAAACGTACAAGGAATGCCGCAAAAACTTCGCCTGCTCCGAAACTTACAATCCATATCTGTACAATGAATCAGATGTAAGTTCTGCGACGTAAAGTTTCCGGTTATTTCTGTTTTAGACTAGTTCGGGAGGAGAAAAGGTTACGCTTTCAATGGAAGTCAGACATTCGGATCACATTGAAATGCAAACAAATCGAATGCAACTGAAACTTGATGACTCGATCTCAAAAATAATTGCTGATACGAAAATAGATATTATATTTCCCGACAAAGAAGACCATGAACAGGTATCTTTATTTAGATTTGACTTTAAATAGTAATTTTAAGCGATATGGCTACAAGAACGAGCTGACTCAATTTTCCAATCAAATACTAATTCACGGGTCATTAAAAGAAGTAAATGAAGCAAGGAAAAGACTCCGGGTAATATCTTAAACGTTTACTTTTTGTATTCTTGATTAGAAACTCACTCCTTTGATGGTGAGCTTTTCAACAAAAGGATGTAAAGAAAGCGTGAATAAGGAAACAATCAAGGAATGCATCAAGGAACTTCAAGAAGATGGTCATCTAAAGTCTGTCAATGTGCAGCTCACGTCTTATTCGCAAGATGTAAGCTTTTTCATGTTTTACTTTAATGTTTGGCTTAGAGTAGCGAACCAACCATACATGTTACGGGACGAATCGGCAATGCAACAAATATCGCAACTGTTTGCGAATCTTTGAAGTTTGTTAGGTCTTTAAGCTAAATTACTAGTGTGCGGTTTTAGAAAAGCGCTCTTCGATGAACACAATTGCGAGAAAGTCATCTTCAGCTCATGTCTTGAAATGCCATCTTGCCAATGGGACCTCATCATAGCCAAACAACAGCCTGAATACTTCTTCATCGCAGTTGCTTCAAAAATAACTAACGCGGATATTCATTTTCCCGAGAAGATCGATCGGCATATGGTTTCGTTTTTTTGCACCGGCACAAGTCCCATTTCTGTAATCGAAGCTCGCCGAGTTTTGCAGGTACACTATTAGGATAATATATATTTTAGTTCGAGTGTTATATTCCTGAATTCCTGAAACGCGTTTGGTTTAGAGTCTTCTTCCACTGCAGCTCTGTGTTGATGTCACGAATGATGATCTTGTTGAACCGCTCAACTTTGGGCCGTTAAGATCGAAGCAAGAATTTGACTCGGAAAATCTCGTCACAATTAACTACTACAAAAGCGAATACGAGATGGAACCTTTGTTAGCCACTGAGCCGATGAGACATTTTGTACATTTTGTTACACAGGTCTAAAAAATAATTAAGTCATGTAGTTTTAAAGTTTTAGGAGTTCAATGTAACTGGTTTATTTGCTTCTTTGGCAAGTACCTTTACTCACGCACGTTTTGTTGCTGCCATTTCCCTTGACTCCACGGATTACAATGGTATATCCAGTCGCCTTATGACAACTGCGTGTAAAAATTACGTTGGTCACATGCCTATGATTAAGGTAAAAGATTTTTTATTAATTGTAATAATTTTATGTTTTAGTCTATGGCTGCGCCGAACGCTCTGCTTTTGGAAACTGAAGAACCTTCAGCGAACATCGTTCGCGATGAGAGTTTAGCTGAATATGAACCAGCTCGTAGTTTTTCTTTTTGTTTGCTAACAATATGCTAATTTAGGAGTGCTCAGAGAAATATCGGCAAATGTTCCACATTCATCACACATGGGAGAACAGGTGTCTCGTTTGATGCAACAAGGAGGACTCATAGCAAGATACTATCCATTGCATTATTCTGCAAGCTTTCCTCGTAGCCCTTATTCAGCGTAGGTTATTTAGTTTATAGTTGTTGTTAGTCACTTTTGCTTGTAATGCTCTTTTAGTAATGCCTTTCAATGTCGTGACGATTCTAACAACACAAATCAAACCAACACACCGAATGGCTCAACTAATGTATCGTTTTCAAGTACTCGCTCTCAAAGCCGAGTTCGAAATAGCAATTACAGTAGGTGTCTCCTTTTAATGGCCAAAGATAAGATTGTACTTTTAGGCACCGGAAACCAAAGCTATAATAAAAACACAGCAAATGAAACTCATGAGCGTCGAGCCCCGGTATATAGTAACGTCACCTACCCCGATAAGACCCAAGGGCCAAGGAGCTATGTCGGTTTCAATTTTATGTTTATACTTGCACTTTATAATTAATCGATTATCGATTAGATGTTTAGGTTTCCTCAACACGCGGTGGCGGGCGTGGGCGTTGGCCATATGGTGGGAAGGCCTATCATCACAATGATCGCAACACTCACATGTCGCATGCGGATTTCGGAAACGTTGAGTACCTCAGACAGTATGAAAATAGCCAGCGACATCGTGGGATTCACGGAAATCATTATTTGCAAAATGAGCACCAGGAGCAGCAGGTTTTGTTTGAAAGTTAACTGACGTAATTTTTGTGCTTTAGTTTGACAAAGCACCAAAGAGTAAAGCGCGTTATCATGATGACTACACGAATCGCCAATACAGAGATGATCGTTGTTATCAAAGGGATAGTCCAGTAACACCACAAAGTGGAGACCGATCATCAAAGGTCTCCTTGCAGTTGAAGGACCAATCAAATCCAAAGCGAACTTCGTTTTCTGATGTTGATGGCCACACTACAAATAAGTCGTAAGTTTAAGTTTAAAAATATATTTGTAAAGTTTTCATTTAGAATTGAACCTCTGGAATTGATTCGAGTTGCCTCTACCGAGCCACAATCTTTGGAGCATTCAAGGGAAATGATCGAGCATCGTGGCTACGAGTTTTCGGCAAGCGACGGAAGCGTCGATGAGGCAAACAGGCACTCTCATGTGGCCACCTACGCTCAGATTCTCGAAGGGAAGAAGCCAGCAAATGGAGTTGAATCAAAATAACTTGATTGTTTTTTCGCATTTCGTGTTTATTTTGAAATGTTTGATTCCAGTGCTTCTCCATTATATGATTGACTCATTTAGATTTTTCTCATTATATTCGTTTCGTTTCTTATTTCCGGGTTTTTAGGCTAGCAAATTATCATATGCTTCTGTGTTAAGCGAGCTGCTTTGTATGCAACTTAGCCTTTTAGTTTTCAAATAAATCTTCTATAACAGTTTTTCGATATTTATTAATTGTTTGAAATCTAATCAAATACTGTAAGGATCTCAGTAAATCGAATTGATTACGAGTTACATACATTGGAAAGATCATTGAGCGTTATGCTACATCACGACCATAAATTGCGTATTGTATGCAGGTTAGAGAAGATATTAGAACCCGGGAACTGGGCCTTTACTAAATGCTCCAATCAGGGAAGTTCCGAATTGAGAAAGAAAACACATCGCTTTGAGCTCTTTTACAACTCTGTCCACCTGAATTTGCACTTATGACATTATCAAGTTGGGTGCATTCACCTCTTCTTTTGTATTACCCGTTCCAAAGCTAATGCGAATTGTCCGAAGTGCAACCTCTTCAGAAACTCCACTCGAAATGAGAATAGCACTCGCTCTAAATTAATATTTTGTTTTTCAGCTTCTACGACATTTATTAACTTTCTTTTCTTTGAATGCCCTGCAGCTGCTGTGCTTGCGTAAAAGGAATGACACTTCGATAGAAGGTCTGCGCTAAATTAATGGATTCAGTGAGCTACCTGGGCTTTTTACCTGGTATCAGCATATTTTGGGAAAGCTACCGACGATGTGTTGGGAAGACGGGGAGAATGCTCGAAATTAATCGACACATTCCCTTCTAGTTCTTCCTAAGAAAGGCTTTTAAACAGCAATTTTGCAATTCTGTGGCTGACTTTGATTCGCTTCTCAAAGTAGTCTCGGATTTCTTGTAGATGATTCTCATTGTGTGCCAGATGAGCGAATGCCAATTCGCAAGCTTTGCCCAATCCTGCGATCATCGGCGTATTTTCAGTTCTGAAAGCTTAAAGTTTGAATCACTTTTAATAGCTCGGCGGCATTCAGGCTTAATGATCAAGCATCAGCAATTCCTTTTTCTTATACCTACCATAAAAAAGTTCTTGTATCTCATAAGGTTGCCAATTTCTCAAACCAACCCAGCTCTAAAACCTCTTTCTTGTTCGCAACCGTAAATGAATGGATGAATCGGTACGGTTAGAAGAGATCGCAGAACTAGAGCACCAATTCTCGGTCCGTAGAACTAAAAAGAGAAGCATACGGAGCGATTCATTAACCTACCTTATGTCCCGCCACAGTTGCCAAATCAATTTTGAGCTCATTTAAATCGATATTTACTTTACCGATAGCCTGAAGCTAGATTCAACCTCGACTTTAGGATCTGTGTACCTGTGTGGTGTCACTGTGCATTATGATTTTCCGACCAATTTGATTCGAAGCTTTTCGCACGACATCCGAAATTTCAGCTAAATTTGTTGTTGCTAAACTAAAAGTTTAGACTTTAATCCACCGATTGGTTGGATGACACCGGTCTCATTATTGGCGAGCATAATTGTAACAAGACACGTCTCATTCCGGATTGCTGCTTCAACTTCGGAAACATTGACACAACCCGTTGCCTTGTCGATGTTACAGAAAGTTACATCTGGAAGATGCGGGTTCAATAGTTTTAGGCTACGTTTCTGGATCAACTTGTTAAGAAAACTAACCGATTTTCCGTTGTTCATGCCAACTTTTCAAGGGCTTAACAATGGCTGGATGATCGATGACAGATGTGATAATGTGTGGAAGGCCACGGTTTTCTCTACACTGTTGTCTGTATTCCTCGATCGCCGAATCGAGCACCCAGCTGTTGGTCTAATGGTATTCTTGATCTTTTTGATATCAGAACGTAGAGCAGTTACAGAAAATTAGTACTTATGACGACTTTACCTCTGTGCCACCTGACGTAAAAAAGATCTCTTTGGGCGTGACATGGAAAAGATCGGCCACTTGTTGGCGCGCCTTTTCGATCGCATCATGTGCCAATTTTGCTGTTAACGTTCTCATGTTGGTTTTCAAAAAAAATGGTGAACCTTTTGGATTGTTGCTGCTTGGGTTTGCCCAAAGACTTAATGAATCGATAATTGTTCGTCGAACCTGCGAAATGGCTTGCGTGTCTGCTTATTGATCTAGAAAAACCTCAGGGTGTAGCGGTGTCGTGGCATTGTGGTCAAGATAAACGGGCTCTTGCTCTTCGATGTACCAGTTGAGATTTTCTACCTCCATCTAGAATGTTTGTATGACAATGAGAAATGTGCAAAAGTCAAAAAGTTGAGGAAGTGGGTTTGAGGATCATTACATTTTTGTTAGTCATAATTTTGCGATTCCTTTTAGAAACAAATATTCACCATGTAGATGTCATGTGTATTATCCGATACATTGTGAAATTCGATGCGTTTTCTCCTTTTCCTATTCTAATCGAATTCGCTTTTCAAAAAGTTGCGTAAAGAGAGCGATATGATACAAACAACAACAGCCTATTACAGTTTCATCGCCGAGACCTCGAGATAAATATATCTTCTTTTCCCTTCACTTCAATGCCTTATTTTTTTGCATACCGATCTATCACGTGTTGATCTTTAGATAACAGCAATCAAGCGATGAGAGGTCAAAATGGATGGGATCAACACCCTAGAGTTGGAAATGGGGGAAGACCTCCAGCTGGTGCTCCCAATTTGTACAATGGAGCCAATAACATACAGCCGATTCCTCAACAACAAGGACATGCGCCCAATGGTTTGCTTTTACAACTTTAAATCTAGTTTTTTTTGTTTGCGAATTGTGATTATTGGGCTTTCGTGGTAGGATTAGTCAATGACATTAGTTAAAAAGTTAAACAGCCGGTTTTGTAAAAACAAAAAGTAAAAATATTAGATATGTTAACGTTAGTTGCTTACGTTATTACCAAAGCCATTTTTGATTTATTTAATAAGTAATACATTTTTTTAGTTTGGCATTTGAACCCTCAGCAGCAGCAACCCCAGCAACCTTATGGTGACCAAATGTCTCATTCGAGTCAGAGCGTAAGTTATGCTATGATTTTTGCAAAGGTTTATATGAAGTCTCGATGTTTGTCCTTTAAACCAAACAATATTTCATTTTAGAACAGCAGCTATCACTCAGAGAATTCCTACCATTCGGGTTTGCCAAACTACCAAACTACCAATCTATGGCCAAACAATGGCGCCCCTTATGGTGTGCATTTTTTTTAAAGACAATATTCTTTTATTTTAGAAAATGGTCAGCATCCGATGCAACAGCAACAATACATGGTTTGTTGAAATTAAATACAACAATATATGTTACAACGGGAACAAATGTTCCCGTTGGTTTTTTATTTAATATTTAATAAATTATTGAGTTCAGAACTATCATCTGAATATCAATGCTCCAACTTTTGTTCCTAGAGGTCAACAAGGACAAACTTATGCGAACAATGTAAGCATTATTTGAACTAGCTTGATGCCATAAATTTTTAAATAGGTATAAACTTTTTAGTTTAAAGCTAAACAGCCAACTAGCTAAATAGTTTAAACAAGATTAAAGTTACCAGGGAAATTTTATCGCAACTTTTTTAGTACAATAACACGGCGCCGTCGTATGGTGGTCAACAGGGCTATGGAATGGAGCCGCAAAACTACTATCAAAATCAAGTAAATTTAAAATACTGTATTTATTCCAATTGAAGTGCTCTCTATTAGAAGTGCTCCTTTAGACGAAATTTTTCTTTTTTTGGATTTGGAACTCTCGGATAGCAAAATGCTCAACTTTTTAAAAGACTTCTAAACGTTTTAAATAATAGTTATAGACCAAAAGCTTAATTACGTTCGAAAAAAAACTATTTTTGAACTCTTTAAAATTTGGGTATACCGTAGCTAGGACACAAAAAAGAATTTGAGAGGGGCATTGAAAAATAAAAGAGCCGGCTTTTCTATTAGAATGCTTATGTTACATATTCATAACGTGGATACGACATATTAATTCAAAAATGAGATGATCGCTCAAACAGCTTCATATTTTTCACGACTGAACTTTCGCGTTTCTCTGAAATCTCTGGTTCTCGCCGCATCGTGTTTGCCTTTCCCGTTGTTTCTCTCATCTTTCTCCTATCTCCTCTCAACTCTCCGGCTTGTATGCACAAACAACATAGACTTAACCCTCTTCGCTAACCGTCTCACTGTCATCCCTCTCATTTAGCATTCACTTTTTGTGGATTGCAAGGCAAAATTGACACAACTTTATTGGAATTTTGAAGAGTACAGGGCACAAAAATTCATTCACGCTTCATTGCCTTTTGTTTGACCTCTATTGATTCGACACCACTCTTCCTTGGCTTTTTGTATCAGTTTTTGACCGCAAACCTCATGGATTAACAAAAACAATTGATTTATTAGCTATTGAATATTCTGTATTGAATTTCATCTCAATAATTTTAGATTGCCGGAGCTTCTCCAAATATGATGCAGCAACAGTTTGGCTATGAGGATCCTGGACAGCAAGATGATTATTTGTATGAGCAAATGTACAGGTATGATTTCTTAAACGGACTTCAACGTTTTAATAATTTTAGTGTTGGAGCTCAAGTATACGTTCCGTCAAACGATTTGCAAAAGCAAATTCGGGAATGCGATCAACAAAATGTGATCACCGAGGTAAATAGTAATTTCGATGTGAGGTGTTACTCATATCGAGCACAGTCAGTACAGAATATCAAATTTAGATTCAAATTGGTTTTGAACAATTGTTGGCCGATCCAAACGAATTTGACTGCTGGGCTGGCGCCATTAAAGATCGACTGCTAAGTCCGAGTTTGAAGAATGAAGCTATTAAGACAGCCCTATCTATTGCAGTTGAAATGGTAGGATCTGTGATTGCCTTTTCCCTATCAATCGCTTTAGGCTATATCTGGAGGCTCTGAAAGCATTACACCAATGAATCCTACCAATCACCAGTACACATTTGCAAAGCTTTTTGCTTTTATCTGCAATGGGGTAAACTTTGATAGTGTAGATATTTGGAACTTTGCTCTTTTTAGAAAATAGACTTCACGCTTAATCACCTATTGCCTGTCCTCGAAACGTACCATACGAATCGCAGCACGCTAGAGAAAGAACGATCAGAGAATTTCATGATGTTTGTGGCTGAGCTTTTTGAAAAGATTGAAATGGTGAGTGAATACTCTTTTTTAAACCTGGGTATATTTAAAACGTTTAGCGGGAAAAACGCATTCAACCAATAGGAACCGCTTTGATGGAACAAGTCGGTGAGATTGTCAATCTCCCTCACCTACAAATCACGGACCAGCATATGAAAAAGATCGCTCAGATTTTGAAGGTGACATTTTTGATTCCTTCAAAAAATTCTTCTTTAGTTAACTGGCCGTCACTTGGATGCGATTTCACCACTACAAGAAGAATTGAATGCGGTCATGACTCGCCTTTCTGGTTTAGCTAATGGAATGCAAAAGCTCAGCGAATCGACAAAAGCTCTGATATTTTCGTTGATTGAACAACGTGAGAAGGGATGGGGATACAATGATCGGGTGAGTCTCATGTGTATGTCTTAAAAAACATTCTCTTAGTATTCGGGTGCGGTTGGTGATTCGGATTCTATCATTGGCTCATTAGTCGGCCCAGATGGTCGACAAATTGACTTGAGCGAAGAAGAACGTGCATTTTTAGGTATATGCAATTAGAAGTTGCTTATAATACGGGCTGCTTTAGAATCACATTTCAATGATGGTGATCAGCAGGATGACGGAGCCGGAGCGAGTGAAGATCCGGAAATGTTGGCGGACTATGAGAAATACCTAAAGGAGGTTCGCGAGGAAGAAAAGGTAACCTTTTAAATATGGCTCAAATTAAAGCCCTTGTTCTAGGCTCGTAGCATCGCCATAAAGATGCAAAAGACGCAGCTTATCAGCGAGCAAATTACTGAAGAGCCAGAAACTGAAACACCAGAAATTGAAACACCAAAAACTGAAACACCAAAAGAAGAAGCCAAGGAAGCTAACGTCGGTGAAAAAGAAAAGGACGGCGTTTCGGAGGAAAAAGAAGAATCTAAGTAATTTGGATCCCATAGAACAATCTCCCAGTAAATTTTCGTGTTTTTCATTCCTTTCATTTCATTCAATTTATTCGACTTTGTGAATTGCACGCGATTCTCATCCGTTTTTGACTCCAACCCTTTTTTTAAAGATTCTTGGTGTTTTACTTTGATGTTGTCTTGTGTTTATAGTTGTACAGTGGTTTAGATTAGATGACCTCTAATACGAATCTCGTCCACTTGAAAGAGGTAGTGGTGGTTTGTGATGAGTTTTTGTCAATGTGTTAGAGCTTTTTCTGGCAACTGTTGTAAAATGCAGGTGGGAGGAAATTTCTTAGCAACAACGATTTCACGTAGAAAATGTACTACCGCTGTTTACCCATATTGGCGTTTTGTCTACATCTATCCCATTGCTGTTTACCGGTTTTTCTTTGATTAAGATGTTATGATGTTTTATTTTATGCATAAGATAAATATATAAAGCTATACAAAACTTCTGAAAGTCAATAAAAAATGCAGACCAAATGTGCATAGAGTTCACAATTTGCGTAAGACGATCAAGTCGTCAAAAGATGACCCTTCAGTAGCTTCATTTTCGCTTTTTACCCATATTGGCGTTATGTCTACATCTATCCCATTGTTGTTTACTGGTTTTTCTTTGATTAAGAGTTAGGATGTTTTATCGTATCCTTTATTTGCCCAAAGGCCCGCTTCAATTGTCATAATTCAATGAACGTTTGTGAATCTCCTATTTTGCCCTAATCCTTTGTCTTTGCTATTGCTAGCACCTCGAGCTTTACAAAATGCAAACGATATTTTAAGTGTCAATTCTCCTAACCACAATCGCCTTGGGGCAATGTAATAAGAAAAATAAAGGCAAGACGGTTGATGGGAAAGAAAAGGAACCAGCAAAGGGTGGCTCAAAGAAACACAGAGAAGTTTTGACAGAGTTTGACCATTTTCACTTCCTATTTAAAGTTAAACAGGGACAACCGTCGAATAGAAAGAAGCAAAAGAGGAGAAGAATGTCGAGCCAGAAAGGGTTTCCATGCATGCACAGTTTCGGCTTTTTAGCAAAATATTGGGGTATTTTTCTTTAGGAATCCGAAGCGAGCAACATGAAAACGGCTGAAGTGAAAAATTCGAGATTGATACAGAGTTTTTATGTCTTTTTGTCTATGCAATTTTTCAGTTCAAGCTGCGTCACCGCCGCACCACCATCGAAAGTTCAACGTCGAAAGAACAACTGCAAACAAAATGGCAACAAAAACAACTAATATCTAGCGGTTCTCGCCCTTTCGTTTTTCCTGAATAAAGAAACTTTTATTTCAACAATTCAAACTCAACAAGTCTTCTAGACTAGAAAATAACAAACAAATCAACAAGGAAATAAAACAAAAATGATAACAATAAAACCTGTAAGCGAGAACGTCAAGTCAGAGCGGCTTTTTCCTCTTTCCAATCACTTGACGAATTTCCTGGAGATACACGCTTTATAGGAAACAATTGATAAAATACCTGATTTACTTGACTTCCACCCCGATTTTTCTTCTTTAGCTGTTTCAATGGCACATAAGCGTACGGTTCCATAGGCTGCGTTTTTCGAATCGAATCTCCTCCAGCTTTCCCCTTACGTTTTGGCTAAAATGAAACACCTTTCAACTCCTGCATTTTCAAGCTTACCGTAGCAATCGGCCTCGAAAGATCACGATGAATGCCCGTTCCACCTGGTTTATACCTAGAGGCAAAGCTCTTGCTGGTGCCTGTTGTCATTCGAGAAGTTGAGGAAACACGGCTCTAAAAATAGCAATGATTGGTTGAAAATATTCTAAAAGTCCATACCTTTTTGTCTTCCTCTTCTTCATCGTAATCATCTTTCTCTTCTCGAGCAGCCCCTTTCTTTCCTTTCTTATCTCCCAGCAAATCCGAGAGGTCGTCATTATCATCAGATCTAAACATTTTGTTCAAGGGATTTGAGAAAGTAAATTACTTTTTCTTTCGTTTCGAGGCTTTCTCTTCTTCTTCATCATCGTCGATAATCAATTTTCCGTCTTTTGTGACAGCAAACCCATAGTTTTTTTTCTTGCGCTCAGTTAAACGGGCTTCTCGTTTGGCTAACAATGTGGGATTGATCGTCGAAACCTGAATTTTCCAATAATTCAATGTATACAAATAAAAGCAAAGACTTACCTTATCAAGAAGCATGTTTCTATCCAGTAGATCGTGAACATCACCCTCGTCTTCTTTCAACCAAACGCTCTTGACTTGTGATCGTTTATCTTCTTCCTCCTAAATTAAGCTTGTATATTAAACATTTCAGGAATAAAAACTTCGTTTTCCTCTTCATCATCACTGTCGTCAAGTAAATGAAGAATGGTATCAGCTCCAGCTGTGCGAGCCGATGCACGCGATCCTGCCACAGAAACACCATCTGTAAATAAAAAACAGGTATAATCGGAGACTAAAACAATATACCATCATCGTCATTTTCCTCTCCCTCTTCATTAGCTAGTCCTGCAGCCTTTCTCGCCTTTCTTCGCTTCGTTTTCACAATATTTCTGATTTGCTTGAGCCATTCAACTTTATCAGTGTACTTTTCGAGCGCATTCTCTCCAAAATGATCAACAAACGATTCAAGGAGGATACGATTTGCTTTTCGTACCTAGAAACAAAGTAAAGTAGACGACTCAACATAACTTAACCAACCTGTGAGGTCACATCATCACCGGCACTCTGGTCAAAAAAGCCTTGAAGGATTATGTCCCGATATTGTTGTAGGGCGAATTCGGGCATCTTATTCACGAGAACTCGAATCAGTCGAATGCCCAACACACGAATCTAGAAAATACATTGATGCTACGGCATTTCATCAACAGAATACGATTAAATTCATCAATACCCACAGTTGGTCTTGTCTCAGCAAGCGTTGAGCATCCTTGAGAGATGAGACGAGACAAATGAGAAGCATTCAAAACCTAAAAAACAAACCGTCTAATTTCAGTCTAAACAATCTAACCTTGACATGTTTTTGGGCCAAAATGTTTAGTGCCACCAAACATGCACGTGAAATCTCGAGACGAATCTAAAGAAATTTGGTGTTCATTTTTCAAATAAGCTATTTTAACCTCTTTTCCGTTGGCTTTCGGTGTGTTCATTTCAAATATTCTGGTGAAAATTGGATACAAAATCTCGGAAGGCGTTTGTCTTAATAAAAAAATCAAATGGGAAGATTTTTTAATACTTACCCCACTTCTGAGCCCTTTTCAATCAAACGCGTGCACATCGCTTGAAAAGTGTTTGATGCTCCCTCACGACAAGGCATCGAGTTGGCTTTTTCCAAACATAGAATCTAAATTTTAAAAGAACCATTTTATTACCAATAAAAATTATACCGTCAAATCAATCGCCTTCAAACAGAATTCTTTTAACTCTTCATATGTATCCAAAGAGTAAACCACAAAAAGAACGGCTTCTTGGTGAGCGGCACGAGCAGGAGCTAAAATTCAAATTAAATCCAACAAAGATCAGTTGTGCAAAACCTGAGATTTCATCATACGACTTGAGCAGAATTTCATACAATGGTCCTTGAGTTCCTTGGAAGAGGTCAGCAATTTCTGGTTCATTGCTGAAAAAGCCTGATTACATTTTATTTCCTTCTAGCCCTGGGTACCTTTTCTTCAGCACTTCTCCCAAGATTCGGTACGCCTTCTTTTGCATTGAATAATCACTTGGTTGATTGAAAAAGGGTAGCATTGTAGAGAAAATCTTAACAACTCTGGTTTCATTTTAACTTATTGCCATTGTACCTTTTGTACATCAGCAGGCGTTACAGCTTTAACGAACGCAATAAGGATATCAGCTATTCTTTTTCGCGTATTATTGTTTCGCCATTTATCCTCTACGTCTGTTTTTGTTGCTTCGCATCCCTAAATAGCTTTACATTATTAGATCGTTTCAAAAACCCACCTTTAAACGCTCAATGGCTTTTTCGGTGTATGTTGACAAAATCTCTTTCTGACTTATTTCCACATATAGCCCAATTGCACTTAAAGTCGACAATCGGATTCCACAATTAGCCGAACTAAAACTCAACAAATATTACTCACAAAGAGCCAATCCAACCTCATATCATTGTCACCATCATTCACGTAGAGATTAAATAAGATTGGTAGATAATTCTCCGCGTAACTAAACGCTTTGATATATGCACCTTTAAAATTTTTTAAATACCGAGCCATTGTTTCTCTTCTTGAAATTGGTGCATCTGGGGCTAGTGCAAACCGAAGCGCTGCTCGAAGTCCCGTCAAAATAATTAGCCTTAAATCAACTCGCTCTGTCAGCGCTACACCAAGAACCTAAATTATAAAATTAAATTTGAATACAACTCATTCAACTTACTTTTGCAAGTTGAGGAAAGCTCTCTTCAAAGTCGGAAGCAGAAGCCAAGAATGATGGCAATAAATCCCAGAGTTGTGATTGTACAATAGAGTATGCACGAGAAATAATCTTATTTACATCATCTGTCATGCGTCTAAGGTGAAATCTTGATTTAAATAAAAGCACCCTTCTTACTTATTTAGCTTGGAGGCCAACGCAAGGAAATATTTAATGAAAAGTGACAACGGCGCATTGCGAATGTTTACACGGAAAATAGGCAACAACCATGATCTAAAATTGAACTTTAATAGAAAGCTTCAGGTAAATACCGTCGGAAATCAGTCGGTAGAACAGGAGCATCGGGATCAATTTGAAGTGATAGAACGTTTAACACATGTTGAACTCCGACATACCGAACGGCAGCACCAATGGTCTAAAAGTAAAATAAACGCTCTTCAATGTTCTTAATGCACTTACAAAATCGATTTCCTGTTTACAGAAACAAGAGTCTTCTTCTCTTAAACGAGCCATCGTGCGTAGTGCCTTCACAAACTCGTCTGACAAAAGTGCCGAGCCAGAAATCTACAAAACGAAGTTCAGAAACAAGTTTTAAAGCAGACTTGAAACAAGAAGGTCATCGTTTTGAAGATGTGTTTCCAAACAATAGCAGAAAATCCTGTTAGCGATGATTCGAGCAATGAAAGAAGCTTCCGGGCCGGCATTTCCTCTTCTTGGATACATTGTTCAACTAGTCGAGAAAGAACCTATCATAAAATAATAAAATGTTATAAGTATATAAAAGAACCTGTACAACAACTCGGCACAGCTCATCATTTCCAACTTGAAAAAAGGGTGTAATTAGTTCCATGGTTTCTGGCAACATCAGAATTGACTCTGATTTCATTTTATATGAAAGACACACATGAGCCTCCACGAGTGCCTATAAATATTATGATTGTTGGCAATATCGTAAAGAAATACCTGAATCCAGTAGGCACACACAGCCACTTCAGAAGGGGATGGAGCTAATTTCCTCAAAGAGATGATCTAAAGCGACATAAGCGCAAATTATACCCCAGAACGCACCAAAAGTTTATTTGTTTCAGGCGACAAGGCAGCATCGCTCGGTTGATTTTGTAATGCACGATGCAAGCATTGTAATCCAGCACATTTCACCTAAAACCATTATTTGATTTTGATGATTTCTGCTATTTAACTTGAGAATCGGCCGCTATAAGTCCTTTTAATATATTCGTTGCAAGTCGTTGAAAAATTGAAACTGGCATTTTGTGCATAATTCCCTCGAGTAGACACAAATAGCGTGTCACATCCGTTGAAGAGGTCTTTTCCTCTAAAATGAAAATGTTAAACAAAACTCACGCCTAAAAACCGACCAAGAGAAAGGCAAAGTTGTTCATCAATGTACTCGCCAATTGTTCCAGCGGCTGCATGAAGACCATTTTCCAATGAAGTCACAGGGTCAGTCAAAACAGTTCTATAACAAAATAAAAAAGAAATTTCTTCATCACCAACCTGACAACTTTTCTTGCCATTGTTCGGACACGCGGCTTTTCATGTGCACATAATGAGGCAATTAGCAGAATAATGTTTCTAAAAAATGCTAAACTAAATTACCTAGAAGAGTTTCTTACCGATTTTCACTATTGCCCCAAACTACTGAGGGTTGGGCTCGTAAAACCACACCGAGCGTTGCCAACAAATATTTCAGAACGGCTCCACCATCATCACTATCCGAATACAACATTAACGCATCAGCAAGAATCTAAAATAACATCAATAACACGTCTTATAGTGTGAAAAACTTTAATCGAACGGCTGAATTGTCGTTGTAACACTTCTTTGGAAACCTTTTTCACAATAAGATGTAAAAGAAAGGCAGCAGCTGCAGCACGTGGAACGTCCTAAAGCAATGTAAACAAAAAAATGTAAATGACAAAACCTCAGCCGACGTTGATTCCAGAGTTGTTAAAAACACGGCATAATACTCCACGTCAGTTTCGGTTCCTAAAACAAATGAGTTCAAGCAAAAACTTTCCCCTCACCAGAATGCTGTTTGATAATTTCTGCACCAGCCGACAAAACAGCCAAAACTTCTTTCTGGAGTGAAGAACCCGATCTAAACACATACTTAATATTGCCAAAGTTCAAAACCCACTTCCAAAGCCTGTGAACCACATCAAATGTCGGATTTGTGCAAGCAGTGAATGTTGTAAAACGTGAAACTTGAGAAAAACCTCCTTCAGAAACCATTGATGCAGCAGATGACATCATTTTCTTGTTGCCCGTGCCTGACGTGCGTTCTCCAGCCAAAGACATGCTGTCCTAGAATTTAATTAGTTTTTAAAAAACCAATTTCTCGAAACTAACCATGTTTAACTGTTCTAGCACTTGATCATCGACTGAATCAATGGGTAGCATTTCATCCACAGGTACAAGTGGTACCAATTCGGCTTTTCGGGCTGCATTCGCTGCATTGCGGTGTTTTTTTCTTGCAGGATTGCTGTCGTTGCTAAAAATAGGAGTTATTTATTAGAATAAAGATACATTCAGATAAATCAAAAATAAAGCTCACATATGTCCAGGGGTCAACTTCGTTCCTTTATTCGAGTGAATTCTGTGTCGAAACTTCACCATTGTAGAAAGAATATAGTCGTGAATGAATAATTGATGCGGTTGATTGATTCAAAAATCTCGCTTTGGCATCAAGTTTACCTAAAAACAAACTTTATAAATAAAATCTACGCTAAATCCTATCAAAGAGATCGAAAACCAAGAAATAAAACAAATATTTACAAACAACAAAAAACAATCACGGATTGGGTTCTGCACGTAATCTGGTCGGGAGAAAAAGTTCTATTTTTGAGTCGAGCGCTTTCATGTGAACGAGAGTTCGTCCTTCTTCAATCGGATTTTTGATTTCATCCGAAGAGACATAAACTCGGCGAACGAACTCGGGTAATTTGGTGAATTGTAGCACAAATGCGCGAGCAAAAACGTCAGCCGTGTAAAAGCCCTCTTCGACAGATCGATGAACCTAGTTAAGCGTAATTATACACAAAACTATGAAGAAAATACCACATCGGCAGCACAACGAGACCATCCTTCACGTATCACTCCCAAGCGTCCAAGCGAGGCTCGGCCAGCTTGTAACCTCAATCCTGTGCGTTCATCATTGTATTGTTGCTCAGCGGAGATCAATAACTCGGTGCCTTTCACCTAAATTTACTAGAGTTTGAAAACCTTCGGCAAAAACTGACAGTTCCAGCTCCAATAGTTCCGCATTTTTCATTTTCAACGTTTGAAAAGTCTCTTTCTTTTTCTTTTTGAGCATATCTCGGCGTTCCGGTGAACATGTGCCACCACCGCCACTGAACAATAACCGGTGCAGGTGGTGCTCGGCACTTGTTGCATCCAGGGCAATATTCTTCCCATTCAAACTAAATGCAGGACAAATTAAAACAAAAAAAATGCACTAAATACCGATATTTCCATATCATCAGGCGATCGCTTTAGCATTTCCCAGATATAAGCCCATCGTCTTTTCGCTGATCCAAAATACCATAATTTCCGTCGTCTCTCTTCTATATGCCGAAACCATCCCACGCCAACATCTCCAATGGAAAATAGTGGCTTTTCGCTATTTCCATCGATTTCAACCTAAACTTGTTATAAAGCCTGAGTACTTTTTAAAATGAACCTATTCACAACTAACCTTAAATGGTCTAACAGAGCGTCTTAGATCTTCAATAATAGCCATGGCGCTTTCACATTGTCTCTGGATGTCCTTCTCATTGGTGAATACTTCAGGAACAAGTCGTTTGAGTGTCAAGTTATCATAACCACCGGGGAAAATACCTTAAAACATTTAATCAAGGCCTCACACTTGTAAACCTGCCTATGGGCAAAATTATTTGATCCCGCTTCTTCAACATTCCCGTCAGAACAATTCCAACAGTTGCATCACCCCCAACTATGTAAACAGCATCGGCTTCTTCATGATCGACTGCTCCAGCAAGAGCTTCAAGTTGGGCTTCGTTGTCGGCTTTGACAATATTCACCTAAAACCAAAACATTGCATCACAATCACAAAATGTTCACAATAGAAAACACAATAACATTTTTCGTTTATCTAGATCATTTTAGACTACCCACAAATTCTATCAGGCATTGTTTTATAATACTCAAGACCATTAACCAAACCTGAATTCCAGCCAAGTGTAGTAAAGGCAGAGCGTTGGAAGTGAAATCGTCGTAACAACTCCTTTCGTTAGCACCCACATTTGCAAGAACGAATACACGTCGACATTTATCTTCGGCCGATATAAGCTGTTCACCAAACTTGAGGGCTTCTTTTGCGTATTGAGTCCGAATCTCGTTATTTCTTTGTTTTCTTCGCACCCACTGTCCGGCCCAAGCAAGCAGCGTAACTCCAAGAAGAGATTTCTTTTTGTGTTCCCAAAGAGTCGTTCCCAATTTCTGAATCTTCGCGATCACCATCTGAAAGTTTAAAATTAAATATTTTTATCTGAACAATTATTACGTATTATTTGAAACCAAATTCTCAAGCCTTGGCTTAAAAAAAGAATTAAAACGTTTCAGTTTGCGTATAATGAACGAATTTCGGCCTGTTTTATGTGACAAAAAGCTTTAATCCATAACAATAACAACTCATTTTAGAGGTTTATTCACCCCTAAATTTAGATTTTCTTGAAAAAATCTCAGACTATAAACTCCCAATATACGGTAGGTAGTCGTGTGTACGCTAAATAAAGTTCAGTTTTCCTGCTCAAAAAGCCCGATCAGCACACCCAAGAAACTAGTTTTTTTTTCTGCCAAAAGTCGTTCAATTCAGGAAAAAAGTGGAAAATTAGGTATTGTAAATTTAACAGGGTGTTCGCAAACAAGTTTGCACAAAGAAATTTCAACGTTTTTTCTCCTCGTATTTAGCCATGTTTTGGGTATTCAATATACAATTTATCTCCATTCAACAAAAATTAATTACAAAACGAGCACAAAAGGTTACAGCCAAACAAAAAAATACAAAGGCTCAAAGATAGAACAATTTGTCGCGAAGAGAATTGTGTGCTTCCTTGTGGAGGGATTGAGCAAAGAGGAAGGCCAACTTGTGCGCATATTGACATGGCGCTGGAACCCGCACGGTTCCTTGCCAGTTGTAGTAAAGATGGCAGAGCTTGAATGCCTAAAAATTAGTAATCATTTGTGGGCATAGTTCAGTAAATAATACCAAAGCGTGGTGTTTGTCTGCATCAAATCCAGTTGTGTCGTGAAGAACGCTGTAGTGTACAGGAGCGACAGTTCCTTGGTTGACTGCTTGAGGGACCATGTAGAAGTCGTATCTAGAATGAACAATTAACGCTATAACTAGAAAGTTATTTGACCTTTCGGGACGAGTGATGTAGCTGTCGACGATTGTTCCAGGCAATGGATTTGCTACATTCGCTCCGAGCTGTTTGAACACTCGCGTGTTGGTCTTCTTGGTGACGAGTATGAAAGCTATCTTGATTGGAGGTGCATCCACAGTTGCCGCCACTTCTTCACAAGCCTTTTGCACCAGAGGAAGCTAAACGATTGATCAATAAAGTCAGGTAAATAATGCAACAAACTTCTTGCCGAACAACGTATGGGATTTGTCCATCTCCAACTCCGTCACGGTACAAGAAGAGTTTTTCGGGCAATTGCTCAGCATTTCGTTCGTAGTAGATGCGAAGAGCCTCTAAATGATCCAAAAGTTAACTTAAAATTGCAAATGTTCTTACTTCGCACAAAGTGAACCAAGTTCGTGCCCAATTCGGTCGGATTATCGTGGTGACGGCATTGACTGTACCAGGAAGTGAAGTCCTGATCGAATGACGAGACACAAGCGCCCGCAGCCTTTCCTCGCGTGGTGGAATCCGCGTAGAGGTCATAGCCCATGATCAACGCCTTTTTCAACTGAAGAAGAGTTAGAATCTAATACTTGTTTGATACCGGAATTTTGATCCTCCATGCAGCACCACCCATCTTGCAGTTCATCTGGAGAAGGATCTTCAGGCAAATCGAGCCGAATTGCCGGTTGATTCCGTCCGTAGAGCGACCAATAAGTGTCTGCAGTTTGATACATTGGCTCGGCACTAAACAAGCTATCTGACAACTTAAATTTAATAAAAACCTGGAACATCATGGCAAACGAGCTTCTTCATCGAATCATAGCGCGTCTTGTTGTCATCGACGAGGATGATGACCACCATTTCAACTTTTCTTCCTTCTTCAGCAGCTCGTCGCACTCCCTCTTTCACCACTTGATTGTAGTCGGTTGGATCAGGAGAGTTGACTGACACACAGGTAGGCTCTAAAAAAAGATATTACACAATTAGCTGGTTGGCGTGTTACCATTGATTCGCATGCCAAGTTGGGTTCCAAGGTTTCTACATTCAGCTAAATATAGGAATATAAAGCAAACTTTAAACAACCAACCAATGAACTTATTGGCAGCTTCAAATGCGTGCGGACCAACGTTCGGTGCCACCAGAATCCAATCCTTGAGGTTTTTGCTAACACAGTTTCCGTTCTGCTTGACAAATCGAGCCCATTCAGCGTTTTGCCCCACATAACCATCTGGGCGAGCACCATAAAGCTAAAACATGAAACAATTTATATCAACATTGTACAAGCCTACTCTTTCTTCTGGCAAGACGCGAGCTGGGAAATGAATAATTTCGCCATCCAATTCAAATTCCCAGGCTTGGAAAAGGCGCTGAAGCTCCGGATTCTCTCGCACTTGCTCAAGCCATCCTTGTGTCATCTTGAGACGAGCTTCTGGTGTGAGACGGGTCACTTGTGACATCGCGCGCATGATGCTCATGTTGTTTCGCATATCGTCCGTGATTCCAGTGAGTCGACAGAATTGAGGCAAGAGATACGTCTTCTGTGGAGGCTCGCCCGGTTGCTTTGGTTTGCCTTCAGAGACCTAAAACTTTTGATGTTAGAACGAGTATCAAAAATGATTCAGTTACCAAAAGTGGCTGCTCCATGTCGATGTCTTGCAAGTTGTATTGTCGCTGAAAGTATTCCGCGAACGTCAGTTCTTCACCGCTTCCCAAAGTGAATGTTGATGAAGGGTGCATTTCCGGCTCCACACGGGTGAGGCGATACATTCGGTGATTGTATGGAGTGATGATGGTTTGATTCGCGAAGAGACGCTCACATTCGGACCTGAGGAAGTTTTTAATCGTTTCAAAAAAAAGGCTCACCAAAAACGCTCGTTCACTCCACCGGTTCTGCGTAGAATTTGCACCATCTAAATTAAGAACATTACTGTGATATGAATCAAAGCAATACCTGGCTAGCAACCGTATCCTTGCGTAAGACTTTCCAGCGGTTTTCAATGCAAACCATCAGTCCGTCATCATGCAAACGCGTTGCCGTGAAGTATCCAGGCCAGCACTCGATTCCATATTGATCCACAGACACGTTGCGTCTTGGGTCGAAGAAATGGCGAGCGACCGAGATGAGTCCTGTTGCTTTCATGCATCTAAAATTATTTAACCCATTGTCCAATTAATATCAAGACTGCCTGCGAATCAGCAAGTCGTAAACGTGTAGAGCTTGTGGGTTGTCGTGTCCAAATTCCATTGTCACCTTGAACGAAACCTTGATGTTTTCCTCAGTGTTGGGATGAGGAGTCACGTAAGAAGGCTAAAATTAAACGTTATAAATCTACCTAGCTATCTACTTCAATACCTGAAACTTGTAAGCCTTCGGAGCGTACAACATTGCACCATCGAAGATCACAAAGTCGAAAATGCCGATCACCTTCAGCATTTCTTCGCGGCAAGCCTTTGAGTCAACGATCGGCTCAAACTTTACGTGGTATTGCAGCATTTGGTTTAATGGATGAGTCACGATGCGCACATAGTTGGCCAATGAGTCGCTGATGGCTCCACGCGTGCCTAACATAAGAAAATTAAAACAAGTTGCAGGACAAGGCTATAATCTTCCTAATGTTCCAGTTCAAGACTATAAGCTCAACAAAGTTCAAGTCGGTGATTTACAAAAATAAAGACACCGGTCTTGCTTTGATTCAGATCCCGAACGAAGAGCGCCGGTTGAATGGTGCGAAGATTCGATGCGACCTGTTGCAGCGAAGTCCCTTGACCCGAAGACGATTCCTTCATCGATCCTTGCGATTTCACTTGTCCTTCGTTGTTTTCTATGTTTGAAAACGAATTGTCAAAAAGACTAACTTTCGCGATAGTTTAAACAATCGAAAGAAACCATGAACGAGCAAAAGAGCAAAAAGGTAACAGAATAGCTAGAGTGGGATCGGCTTACTCTCGAGTGCGCTTTGGTGAGAAAAGTATAGAATCCAATCAGAATAGTTTTGGAGGTTAAAGAGTTTCATAAAACAGCAACGAGAAAATGAAAAGATCTAGCGCAGCGCAACTATCCAAGAAAACCAACAGCGAATTAAGACGAGTTAAAAAACAATTTTTTGTTTTTCGGTCCTCCAATTGCCCTAGAAACTTATTGATATTCAGTCATTCGATGGAAATCCTTTTATTGTGTTGTCCACTGACTTATTCACCTATATAAAGCAAACTTTTTATTTTTTTATTTTTAAAAAGAACAAGCGCTGCGAAGTTCCAGATTTGAGTTGTTGTAACATTTTTTTTTACTCTTCTGTATCATACACGAGTGGCACAAAGTTTGATTTTCAAGAAAATTGCGCGTTTTGAAGCCAAAATCAAAGTTCTATTGATAGTGAGGTGTGACACTCTTGCAATGAGTCTGTGATACTTACAGTATTACCCACAATCAATATACTTTCAAAGCACAACTTAACTTTTCACTCCAGCTATTATACTTTTGAAGTACCGCCCCCAACTGTCCCTATCGAGTGTCCCCATAGTACCCTCCCCACAAGTGTCCCCATGTGCGTTTTTTATTTTTTTAACCGCTTTCAAGTAAACTGTTCGCTTTTTTTATTTTCTATGATAATTTCAAAATTATTTGATTCAGGTATTAGGTTGTCCCATAAAAAATTGCGGTTTTTTTCATTTGATTCGTATTCAGCGACAAATTAACACTTTCTCTTTCTGTTTTTTTTTATTATACTGCTTTACAATTCTAGTTTTATGTGCTAAATTCTCTTTTTTAGGAATCAAAAACAAAAAAAGTTGTGATCGATCACATGTCGCTGTCTCGTAAAGAAATCCATCAATAATCCATCAATGATATTTGAAGAGGATTTCCGCGGCCAAAGCAGCGAGAGAAATCAATTCTTTTATGGGCCAACAATCGTCAAGGAAAGGACTACACGATGGTGGTTTCAGAAGTTCCGAAAAGGTGACAACCGGCTCACACGAAAGCGAGGAAGCGGTCGTCCCAGAAAAGTGAATCGACAGACGTTGAGGCGCCAACTTCAGCAAAATCCCGAAGGAACGACTCGAATTTTGGCACAAAGCTATTACTGAAGAATGACAGTATGGCGTTGGCTC